AGTCGTACACCAATCCGGGTTCAAAACCTCCACTCACCGGGCCCTTACAACCCTCTCACCTCAGCTAGCGGATCAGACACCCCCCACCCCCCCCACACACTCCTACCCACCCTCCATTTGCCCACATTACCACCCCCTATTCTGACCTCAGTCTGCCCAACGGCCTTCCGAGATCAGGCATCTAACACCCCCACGCCGCAATCTCAGCTAGTCCTCCTTCCACTGCTCAGGCCTAGACGACCCCCCCAACGGCAAGCCACCTCCCCCAGGCCCCTTCTCCCTCATGCCCCCACTGGGATCTCCACGCCCCCATTCCTCATCTTTGCTTTAGCGGAGTTAATATCGCTAAAAAAAAATTAAAATTGCTTCTTCCAAAAGCCTTTTTTAAAAGTGGAAGCCGGCAAAATATTTTGCCATAATCTCCGTCCCAAGGTTCATGGTCAGTCAGGGCATGTGGCGGTCCTGATTTTAATTAAGTCCGCTCGACTAGGCTGAGCTTCAAGACCGTTCCCGCTTCAGTACCCACTTCAGCCCCACCAGTGCCTACCTGCTCCGGCCGCCTCTAGCGTGGCCGACCGTTGCTCACCTCCAACCGGCCGTGCACGGTGTGGGGGCTCCTGAGCAACTGCGAGGGGGCGCCGGGCGGGAGACCTTTTATAGAGCCCGGGCTCCACGGATGGGGGAGATAGGAACTGACGCGTTCTCGTGCTCCCCGTACCCACATATCACAGGATGCTCACGGGGCAAATTTAAACTTCGCAGCTAGGAGCTCAAATTTGGCGCCCAGCCGCAGTGCTTTCGGAGTCAGGTCTATCACTTCCACGGGTGCTGCTTGTCATGGAAAGCGCCATTTCACGCAGAGCTCTGGTACCAGAGCCGGTTTCTGTAGTTTGCCGATGCCCAAATTAACTTTGGGTGACAGGGAAGAACTGGGCTGAATCTCCCTCAAGTTTCATCTTTGTGAGAATGTGGATAAGCAAGCTCCGTTCCTTGCCGGAATCGCCCAAACCTCTAAGCCTGTCTGCCTGCCACCCCCCCCCCCCACCCCCGCAACTACTCTGAGCTAGGGGGGCTGGGGGCTGGGGGCAGGCCACCTAGACCCCTAGATAAGAACAAGGCATCAATCCGACAGTGCCTGGCAACACTGAACTATGACGCTTGCTTCCAGAACCCTCCAAACCCTGGAGATAGAGGGGTTGGTTACTTGAAGCTTTTTGGCACTCGCTCCAAACACACCAAGAAAAACAAACCGGGGAAGTAAATGCTTCCTAGACGGTGCCGTTTCTCCGGCAGACACCGGTATGTTTCATGATTTAAGTATGTGGCCAACAGAACACAAATAAAACCTCTGCATTTAAAGATATTAATAATATTGTTTACTTCATGCTGGGCACTGTTCCAAGTGTTTTATGTGGATTTAATCTTAAAGACACCTTAAAAAGTAGACAATGTTAACCACTCATTTTACAAAGATCACATGGCTAGAAAGCGCCAGCGCTGGGATTCAAACTCCAGCAGCACCGCACTGGAGCTCGAGCCCCGCGTTACAGATTACTCAAAAATAAAATCTTAAGAGGCGGCTGACTGGCTCCGGCGGTTAAGCGTCTGCCCTCGCTCAGGTCATGGTCCTGGGAGCGAGCCCCCCGCCCCCGAAAATCGGGCTACCTGCTCAGCGGGGAGCCTGCTTCTCCCTCTCCCGCCCATCCCCCCTGCTCGTGCGTTCTCCCTCTCCCTCTCAAATAAATAAAATCAATCTTAAAAAAAAAAAAAATCTAAACTCTTAAGCACCAAACTGCCTACATATAGAAAGGTACTTTCTGAATGGATTGGAAATTGGATAAAAGGGGCTTATCATTGTAACCCTGATCTCTACAACAAACTTGAAAGTTTACCTCTACAAGCCCCTTCTATAAAAATGGGGGTTACATAACTGCGTGCCTCAGAGGTTTGGGCAAAGAACCTGAATGTTAGCGGTGGTTAATATTAAGAAGCATGGGCTTCAAGTAAAAAGTGGGTTAGGACTGGAATCGAATCATGTTAACCCAAGCTTATTCCAGATGCACAAGCAACTCCTTTAGCGTTTAGGCAGGAGGAGCTGAAGTGGACTGCAAAGGACGGAAGGCAGATTCTTTTTTTTTTAAGATTTTATTTTATTTGACAGAGAGAGAGAGAGAGAGAGAGACAGCTAGAGAGGGAACACAAGCAGGGGGAGTGGTAGAGGGAGAAGCAGGCTCCTGGCCGAGCAGGGAGCCCGATGCGGGGCTCGATCCCAGGACCCCGGGGCCACAACCCGAGCCGAAGGCAGACGCTTAACGACTGAGCCACCCAGGTGCCCCCGGAAGGCAGATTCTTAACATACAAAGAGGGTAGGGGTGAGAACCTTTGAATGGGCTACCGGGCACCTTTCTTCCCCCACCACCTTTTAGGAAACAAACCCCAATCCACATCAGGGCTTTGAGGGGCACAACCCACAGAGCTTGGGAGGTAAATTAGCTGAAATATTATTTTATTTTTTTAATGTAAAGCTCTATGCCCAATATGGGGCTTGAACTCACGGCCCCGAGATCAAGTTGCATGCTCTACCTAGACTGAGCCAGCCAGGCGCCCCTGAAATTATATTGAAAATTTTTTTTCTCAATTTATCATCTCTGAGAAAACAGGCAGCTAAACAGCCTGTTCTGGTACCCGCTGCACTGATACCCTCCCTCATACCTGTGGCTGAGTTCAACCACCACACAGAACATGAACAGTTCACACGAAGAGGAAGACTACAGCGGTAGATGAAGCCAGAGCAGTCGCAGTCGTAGGCCAAACAAAACCCATCATGAAGAGGTGTGCTGGGAGTCACAGGCTTCAGCGACCTCTTAATGGATCGGATCCCAACCCCACCCCTCTTCCACACCTGGCTGAGAAAACAGAATAGTTCTTAAGATCATACAGCTCCACTAGGGAAATGTGGTCCTCCAGTCATTTGGAGGCATTCAAACAGAAGTTTCATCATCAGGTGACCCTGTTATTCTGTCCAATGCTCAATTTCACAGAACACAAAATACGTCAGCCATATTAAGGGCAAATCATTCATTTATTGTTTAAAGATTGCAAGACAACATCTGGATTTCTGTAGCACAATTTAAATGTTTTACTTTTTTGATAAAGCAGAGTATAATAGAAAAAAACAATTAGTTTCCAGTAATATCTATATCTCTATTCAGAATTAAATCTTCCACAGACATGTTACCTGGAAACAAAAGCCTATTACAATAAGCAAAGCTTCAACCAGAGCGGCTACTTTTCGTGCCAGGAAAAAAAGTTCATCCCTATAGGAGGAATGATGTGCTATGTAAGATGGCTGTAGGGTCACAGCCTTGAGGGCACTGGAAGTCTATTCTCCTATTCCACAGTAAGTAGTTTGGTGAATTTCAAACATCAGTTTATCTGCAACCATGCTGGCAACCTTTGACTGGTAGTTCAATCGGGTAAAAAATAAATTAAATCCCTAAACTGATGTTTCTTGATTTACATTGTTAAAAGGTACACAGTTCATTAACATGTAATTCTGGCAAGAATTACATTTGAGACTCCTTGCTCCGATTTTGGTTAACAGTAAGAATCTTTCAGAAATTCAAGTTCTTATTAATCAATAATTTGTCAGCTAGGATACATTCAGGCATCAGCTGCAACTACAGAATAGGTGCACTGCCTCAGCGCTTTGGAAAGACATTATAATCTAGAACACTACTAGCAGACAAAAAATTATCTGTTACTGGATAGCATAAGTACAGTACAGCAACACAAAACATATATTCATATGTTGGCTTGTTTAAGCCTCAAGCCCTCGATCCTTTGTCGAAATTCAATAATTTTATTCCTATGGGTTTTAATACCAAGAACTCAAGCTCCAGGAGGGCTAAAGTCTAATTTGTACTCCAAACCAAGTAGCAAAGCCGTTTGCTACCACTGAGGCTGATCCGTACAGACTTCAAGACCAAGTCCAGAAGACAGTTATTATATAATACCCAAGAAGGTCTGAAAAATAATTACTCATTTACATAGCTGGTCCTTCAGAGCTTTTTACCTCTAACATGTTTTTTGATGAAAGTTATTTAATGTATTGAAGATAACTGTGACTTACTGATCAAATACATGAATACTTATACTTACCTGGGATTTCATTTCTGCTGAAAGAAATAGGAAGAACAGGACTCACTTAAAAAAAAAAAAAAAAAAACTTGAGAAAGGAAGGTAAAAATCTTACCACACACTATCACTTTTGGAAGCAGCATAGAGGGGCAGTCAAAGGTAAAACACTGGTGAAATAGGTCAACACTAGGCCCAAAAAAATCTATATTATTATCATCAATGACAGTACCACAACTACGCCCTGCATAATTAATAATCACTCCTAAGAATTTTCATTTGGCACCAGATGATGTGTTCAAGAGAAACACTCTGGGATATTTAAAATCAGACTTCGTTTTGTTA